GTGTCTATAATTATAGTTCAGAAACTTTTGAACAAGAACTCATAATTAACTGTGATCATTATAAAGAGACAAAAATTTTACTCTTTCTGATATATGACTTTTCTTCTTTCTTCGCTATAGGTGCCTTCATTTGCAAGATGGTTCCCTTTGTCCAGTCTACTGCTGTTGTAACAGAAATTCTCACTATGACCTGCATTGCTGTGGAAAGGCACCAAGGACTCGTTCACCCCTTTAAAATGAAGTGGCAGTACACCAACCAAAGGGCTTTCACAATGCTAGGTGAGGCCACCAGGTGTGCCCTTCTCAGTGCCAACGCTGTTTTTCACTGCAGAGCAAAAAGAACCATATTTATCACAGAGCAGAGTAGCTTCTTGTCTAGCTTATGGACATTGGGGTGTAATTTGAGAGTTTCAGTTCTCTCTTTATTGGACTCCTTTAGACCTACACTGGTACTGAAAATCTATGATTTTGTGTGTACTTCTTCAGTTTGTTTTAAATTTTTAAGAACTTTATTCAGCAAATCTATGATAACCCACCACTAGTGTTATTGCCACATTAACTTTACTTTGTAAGATTTATTTTAGGAGCCAGTGCTATGGTGCAGCGGGTTAACACCCTGGCCTGAAGCGCCAGCATCCCATATGGGTGCTGGTTCTAGTCTTGGCTGCTCCTCTTCTGATCCAGCTCTCTGCTATGGCTTGAGAAAACAGTAGAAGATGGCCCAAGTCCTTGGGCCTCTGCATCCGCGTGGGAGACCCAGAAGAAGGTCCTGGTTCCTGGCTTCAGATTAGCGCAGCTCTGGCCATTGTGGCCATCTAGGGAGTGAAACAGCAGATGGAGACCTCTCTCTCTCTCTGCCTCTCCTTTCTCTTTAAAAACAAGATTTATTTTATTTATTTGAAAGAGTTTCAGAGAGAGGTAGAGCCAGAGACAGAGGTCTTCTATCCACTGGTTCACTCCCCAAATGACCATAATGGCCAGAGCTGAGCTGATCTGAAGCCAGGGACCTGGAGCTTCTTCCAGGTCTCCCACACGGGTGCAGGGGCCCAAGGACTTGGGCCATCTCCCACTGCTTTCCCAGGCCATAGCAGAGAGTTGGATTGGAAATGGAACAGCTGGACCCAAACCAGTGCTCAGATGGGATGCTGGCACTGCATGTGGCAGCTTTACCTGCTCGCTATACCACAGCGCAAGCCCTGCTTTAACCAGCTGCACCACAGTGCTGACCCCACATTAACTTTCTTTTTTTTTTCTGACAGGCAGAGTTAGACAGTGAGAGCCAGAGAGACAGAGAGGAAGGTCTTCCTTCCATTGGTTCACCCCTCAAATGGCTGCTTCGGCTGGCCCACTGCGCGGATCCGAAGCCAGGAGCCAGGTGCTTCCTTCTGGTCTCCTATGTGGGTGCAGGGCCCAAGCACTTGGGCCATCCTCCACTGCACTCCCTGGCCACAACAGAGAGCTGGCCTGGAAGAGGGGCAACCAGGACAGAATCCGGCGCCCCGACCGGGACTAGAACCCGGGGTGCTGGTGCCACAAGCAGAGGATTAGACAAGTGAGCTGCAGCACCAACCCACATTAACTTTCAGTATGATTACTAAACTTCCCTCCTGGGATCAGAAGGCTCTAAGCTAACCAAGGGAGGTATATGCTGACAGTGGGACAAGAAATGTAATTTAAAATGTAGAAAATAGGAGTGCTGACCAAAGATAGGCCTGGTGGTAAGTGTATAATACCACAAGGTCACAGAATGTGTGAGGATATTAGGTACTAACCTCAGGAGATGCTTGACAAAGATAATACCACCCACTTCATAATTTTGCTTCAGGCATTTGTGGATCCTCAGCTTGCCATGTTTCTGATTCAGCAAGTCATGATGAACACATATTTTATGGCAAATGACAAATTTGAAGCAAAGTCCTAAAGCCTTGCACAGAAAAATGGAAACATTTTTATTTCAGTAATTACAATTGAGTCATCAAAAACCTATTGTGCTTCACTGTGATTTAAATTAGTTATAGCCAAGTAATTAGAAGATAGTAAGCAACTAATGTAATGATCAAAGAAAGCATTTTTTTTCTATCCTACTGGAGAAAAAGAATAAACATTTAATTCTTCTGTAAGAATTCAACCAGCACTGATTGGATTTTAGTTACCATAAGAACCTCCAAAGGCTTTGCGATGCCAAATTCATTTTTAGTTTGAAATGAATTGGTAAATCAGTAGGGGGGAATTGTGAGTGTTGGTCAATCATTTTCAAATTTGTGACACATCTTCCCTGCAAAATAATTCAAAGATTTCTGACCTTTTAATAATTGAAATCCTTCTAGCATCAGAACATCTGAAAACTGCCTGTGGTTGTGAAAAGTGGATAAGGAAAGGAATGCATGCAGGAGAGGAGTTATTAAAAACCAAAAGAGAATTAAAGAAAGAGGGTTTCAGCATCTAAAAGCAAAGTTGTTAATAGACGGTCAAAGTGGTTCCTACTCACAAAAGTCATAGGAAGACAAGAAGGCTTTAAAATAAAGTAGACCCATCTCCTCCCAGGGCCTCTTGTCCATTGTTTCCTGCCACCTGTGTTACACTGGCACTCAGTCCTGAAAGTCTGTATGTCATGCCCCAGACCTTGCAGCGGAGGTATGCCATCTGAGCATCCCATCCGAGCACTGGTTTGGGTCCAGCTGTTCCATTTCCAATCCAACTCTCTGCTATGGCCTGGGAAAGCAGTGGGAGATGGCCCAAGTCCTTGGGCCCCTGCACCCGTGTGGGAGACCTGGAAGAAGCTCCAGGTCCCTGGCTTCAGATCAGCTCAGCTCTGGCCATTATGGTCATTTGGGGAGTGAACCAGTGGATAGAAGACCTCTGTCTCTGGCTTTACCTCTCTCTGAAACTCTGTCTTTCAAATAGAGTGATCAGAAGTGACCACTGATGGCACGATCATGTCCATCCAGCCCTAGACAGGCTGACACTGGACAGTTAGGGGCCTAGGAGGGTTGGCAGTGAGTTAGGTCAGTTATACTCTGTGCCTCCAGAGTTTGTACTAATGATTAAAAAAATGATTGGACCTAACAACTCTGCATGATTGTATATGATGACAGAGAGAGTGTGAAAGGGGTGAGAGGCCTGCGCCGCAGCTCACTAAGCTAATCCTCTGCCTTGCGGTGCCGGCACACCGGGTTCTAGTCCCGGTTGGGGCACCGGATACTGTCCCGGTTGCCCCTCTTCCAGGCCAGCTCTCTGCTGTGGCCAGGGAGTGCAGGGGAGGATGGCCCAAGTGCTTGGGCCCTGCACCCCATGGGAGACCAGGAGAAGTACCTGGCTCCTGCCATCGGATCAGCGCGGTGCGCCAGCCGCGGCGGCCATTGGAGGGTGAACCAATGGCAAAGGAAGACCTTTCCCTCTCTCTCTCTCACTGTCCACTCTGCCTCTCAAAAAAAAAAAAAAAAAAAGAAAGAAAGAAAGAAAAGAAAGGGGTGAGAGGGAGAGAGAGAGGAAACTGACTTATGTGCTCACTGATCCAGGATCATTGGATCTTGTTGACTTTACCTAGACACTGCCAGTTATGTATTTCTTTATAATAAATCTTAATTATGGCTAATTTGAGACTCAAGTCCTGGAAATCCAAAAACAATGCATTGTTTGCTAGATAATTCCACCCAATATAGAAAGAACGAGTAGAATTTGAGCTGAGAAAATTTCCCCTAAATCAAAATTGGTGTTCTTGGTTTTGTCTTCCTCTTGGTTTGTGATGATTCATAGGTTGAATGCCCCATGGAACTTAATTTCATTTTTTAAAAAGATTTATTTATTTATTTGACAGTAAGAGTTACACAGACAGAGGAGAGGCGGGGGGGGGGGGGTCTTCCATCTGATGGTTCACTCCCCAGTTGGCCACAATGGCCAGAGCTGCACCAATCTGAAGCCAAGAGCCAGGAGCCAGGAGCTTCTTCTTCCGGATCTACCACATGGGTTCAGGGGCCCAATGACTTGGGCTGTCTTCTACTGCTTTCCCAGGCCATAACAGAGAGCTGGATCAGAAGCGGAGCAGCTGGGTCTCGAACCGGTGCCCATAAGGGATGCCTGTGCTTCAGGCCAGGGCATTAGGCCACTGTGCCACAGCATTGGCCCCAAATTATTTTTTACTTTGTCAAGAGCACATCATTAGAGCAACTCCTCTCAACTTGTAGAGGATAGGGAATGTGGAAAGAGCACCTAGTTTCTGAAGTTATTTGTATTTATTTTCCAGATAAAGCAATTCCCATATTTTGATGTTGAAGAACACTGCAGTTTGGATTTTTAAAAATTTTGATTAATGTTAAAAAAAAACAATTTTATGCATATGAGAGGTACAGCTCTAAGAAAACAACCACACTTCTCTCACTCATCTTCTCTACCGATCCTCCTTCCTCCCTCCCTCTCTTCTTTAATTTCTGCAAAGACAAATACTCACAGGCTTAATTCACCAATAATCATATCCAATGAATAAAAAGTAGGAAGACCGCAGTTCCATAGGGGTGTAAACAAGTGCTAAAATGACAATCATATTCCAAAAATGACCATTTCATTCCTATGCAGTTTTTTGGTATTCTGTATTAACTTCCACACATCACAGAAAACATATGACATTTGTCTTTTTGACACTGGCTTATTTTGGATTTTAAAAAGAAGTGATGGGTATGGCACTGTGGCATAGCGAGTAAAGCTGCCGCCTGCAGTGTTGACATCCCATATGGGCACCAATTCAAGTCCCAGCCACTCCACTTCTGACCCAGCTCTCTGCTATGACCTGGGAAAGCAGAAGATAGCCCAAGTCCTTGGGCCCCTGCACCCATGTGGGAGACCCAGAAGAAACTCCTGGCTCCTGGCTTTGGATCAGCCTAGCTCCGGCCATTGTGGCCATCTGGGGAGTGAACCAGCTGATGGAAGACCTCTCTCTATCACTGGCTCTGATGCTGACTATCTATAACTCTGCCTTTCAAATAAAAAATATATTTTTTAAAAAAATGGTGTAGGCTGGTCTTTGTCATGTTTAGAAGTTATTCATTTAAGAAACATGGATGGGCTCTTGCTGAGGACTGGGAATTTTCCTTGAAATCTTATTTGAAGAAGCAAACAAATAATAAATGCCATTGTCCTTGCCCTCAAGGAGTTCAGAGGAAGTTACGAAGAAATGAGCAAGAGTAATAAAGGTGCTTCACTGGAGGGCACATGTTCACTTGGGAATGGTATAGCCTGCAAGGGTTCCCTAGAGAAGGTGACTCTTGAGCCACAACCTGCAAGATGAATATATAGGTAGACAATGGGTGTGGACTGGCCAATCGATAGTAAAAGCAGGGTAGATGGCATGGAGTAGCACAGTACATTCATTGAATCAAATGCTGTTAGGTCTTTCAGTAAAGTACTGGAGTGGGATGAACTGAAATAGGAGAGAGGGAGGCAAATGAAATTGTAGAGAATCCCATGGACAAAGCCTTGGGATTTAGTTTTATGCCATAAGTAGTTCTCCTAGAACATAATTAAAGAGTTTCAAGTGTACAAATGCATTTTTATTTACATACATTTCATAAATACAGCTTTAGGTACATAGTAATCCTTCCTACTGTACCCACCCTCCCACCCACACTCCCACCACTCTTTCTCTCCCCGCTCCTGTTCTCAGTCTTGTTTTTCACTAATATCTATTTTCATTTAACTTTATACACAGAAGGCTAACTCTATTCTAGGTAAAAATTTCAGCACTTTGTATGAGAGAGAAAAAGAAAGAAAAAAATCAAAACAAACAAAAACATAAAATCCCTAAAAACAAAACCAAACAAACAAACAAAAACAAGAACAAAAGCTATTTCTCAACAGTCCAGACAAGGACTGTTCAAAGTCACTACATACCAGTAGTAATTTAGCTTTTCTTTTCTTTTCTTTTCTTTTCTTTTTTTTTTTGAAACTTAATTATCTTTAAAGAGGAACCCAAGAATGATACATCTTTTGTGAGTACTTATATATAATTTGTGTGACATAAGAATATCCTCCATTTAATACACTAAAATGAAGTAATTCTTTGAGAATTACTTTTACTATTAAGTCTCATAATACAGCTTTTTGAAGACAGAGGTCCTGAATGGGAAGTTAGAGCACAGCGACTCCTGTGTTTATTTAATAGTTAACACTCTTCTGTATGACATCAGTGATTACCTAAGGCTCTTGACAAGAGCTGCCTAGGCCCTGGAAGCCTCTTGATTCCACAAACTTCTTCAGTATTTTTACAGGGCCATAGGCAAAGTAGAAGCTCTCTCCTCCCTTCAGAGGAAAGTACATCCTTCTTTGGTGGCTGTTTCTTTCCAATGGGAAAGAAGAGTTCCTTCATGTAGAACATTTTTGCCTCAGTGTCTTGGCTTTCTATGCCTGAAATGCTCCCCTGGGCTTTTCAGACAGACCAGAATGCTTTAAGGGATGATTCTAGGCCGGCACTGTGGTTCACTAGGCTAATCCTCCGCCTTGCGGTGACGGCACACCGGGTTCTAGTCCCGGTCAGGGCGCTGGATTCTGTCGCAGTTGCCCCTCTTCCAGGCCAGCTCTCTGCTGTGGCTAGGCAGTGCAATGGAGGATGGCCCAAGTGCTTGGGCCCTGCATCCCATAGGAGACCAGGAGAAGCACCTGGCTCCTGGCTTTGGATCAGTGAGGTGCGCCGGCCGCTGCGCACCGGCTGCAGTGCGCCGGCCGCGGAGGCCATTGGAAAGTGAACCAATGGCAAAGGAAGACCTTTCTCTGTCTCTCTCACTGTCCACTCTGCCTGTTAAAAAAAAAAAAAAGGGATGATTCTGAGGTCAGAGTGCTAATTAAGGTGTTTGTCATCCTATGAGTCTGCTATATGGATGGCTTCCCATGTTGGAAGTTCACTCCTTTATAATTCTGTCTATTATTATTACCAACCATTTATCCTGTTTATATGATCATTTGAACACTTGATCCTATCTATATGATTGCTTTAACACTTAATCCTATCCATATGATCTCTGTAACACTTAGAATGCTGTTTTTACTACCTAGCTTAAGGGGATTTGTGGTCCCATGGCAAGTTTTTAAGCTGTTCCCTTAAAAGTAAGTCCATAGGAATTTGTGCAGAATTATACTGCTTTACAGTTACAAACTTCATACATTTCACAATTACAACTTTAAGGTCATGGTGATTCTTCCTTCTGTGCCCACACTCCTGCTTCCCTTCCTCTTCCCTCTCTTATTCTGACTCTTATTTTTAATTGAGATCTATTTTCATTTAATTTTATACACATATGGTTAACTCTATGTTAAGGAAGGAGTTCAACAATTAATATGAAATAAGAAAAATGTAAGTAAAATAAGATAAAATAAATGAAAAAGGGGGGAAATAAAAAATACAAAAAACAAAACTGTTCCTCAACAGTCTAGGCATAGGCTATTAAATGTCATTGTTTCTCAAAGTCTCAATTTCACTTCTACAGATTAAATTTAGGTACTCTATTTGTTATCACAGGTCAGGGAGAACATACAGTATTTGTCCCTATTGGACTGGCTTGTTTCACTAAATATGATGTTTTCCAGCTTCATCCATCTGTTGTAAATGACAAGATTTCATTTTTTACTACTGTGTAGTATTCCATGGTATATTTATTGCATAATTTCTGTATCTGGTCTTCAGTTGATGGGCATTTGGGTTGGTTCCATGTCTTTGCTATTGTGAATTGTGATAAAGCCTATAAGACATTAGCATAGACAAAGAGTTCTTGGAAAAGACCCCAGAGGCATAGGCAATCAAAGCCAAAATCAACAAATGGGATTACATCAAAATGAGAAGCTTCTGTACTGCAAAAAGAAACAATCAGCAAAGTGAAGAGGCAACTGACAGAATGGGAAAAACTATTTGCAAGCTATACAACTGATAAAGGATTGACAACCAGAATTTTTTTTTAAACTTTTATTTAATGAATATAAATTTCCAAAGTACAGCTTATGAATTACAATGGCTTCCCCCCCATAACGTCCCTCCC